GGCAGTCTCTGATCTCATGTAACCTACATAATATTCTTTAATTTAGCCATTAAAATGAGTATTTCTAGGGGCTGAGAATATGGCTCGGCAGCACAGTGCCTACTTGGCAAGCATGAGGTCCTGAGTTTGATTCCTGGTTCCCAGAAAAAATAAACTAAAGTAAAATAAAATAAGCATTTCTGTCATACACTGATGCGTGGAAATGAATGTAAAAAAAATAACATGAGTTGAAAAAGCCTAATAACAAAAACTGCACACCCACTTATAAAAAGCAATGTGAAAAGATTTTGTCTATATACATGCAAATAGAAACAAAGGAGAGAATTTGTACAATATTGACAATAATATGCATAGTTGATATTTTACACGTGTAGAATAGATTTCTATACGTGCATCCACTGCAACTTTTAGAATGCTTTTAAGAGCAAACTATGGCGTTATTTGACTGCTCTATGTGAGAGCTGTACTTCTTAGAGGTGACCAACCTTTATGTGCAAGTAGCTCAGTATATTCGTTTTTCCCCTCTTGTCTGTTCCTCTTAATTGTAACATAAAGCTGAAGTACTTCCTGTGAATTATTTGCTGCATTTATTGAAAGGAGGGTTTCATGTTCCCTTTTCCTGATTTTCAAAACCAGATGAATGAAACATGTTCTATTTCTTCACATTGTAAACGTTGCCTTTTCCCCCTTGTGACCCTTAATTAAGTTCTTTCATTGTGTCAGCAGCCTTTGGCAGAATAATTAAAAAGTTCTCCCACCCTGTTTTACATGATTCTGTTTTTCTGAAATATACAAAGAAATGTCTGAAAGCAGACACTACAACTCCCTCATCAGGGCCAAGGCGTCCTCTCTATTCATTCTACTCTGGCCACTCAAGACATTCAGAGGGACTCTATAACATTTATTCTGAAAACTTTTAACTTCTTTTTCTAATGCCACCTGCGTGGAAAACAATGTTTCGTCTCTGCTGCTGCTCAAAAAAAAAAATACCAAAATAAACAGGACAAAACAGAGAAAGGAATGAGCATGGGTAATAATGGTAGTCAAGCAAAAAGAGGAACTGCCTTTCAAACGAGGTAAATCACCCCCAGATTCCTTCCATACACAATTCATGGCTCTAGTTGGAAGCACTACAAAGAGATAACTCCAAGACAAAGCACACTGGGCCAAGTATTTCGATTAATTTCCTTAATGATGCCACTGACTGTGGTGAATTGATTCTTGTAAACGGTTATCATATTGGTTTCCGCTTCCTATTTAGTTGAAACACAATTAATTGCAGCCCAAATACTTTCTTCTTCGTGTCCTTTTATTATTCTCTCCAAAGTTCCACAGCTGCTATTCTCTGGCTGTTAGCTAAGAGAAAGGAATGAATTCAGTAATATTTGAATTTAAGCCCTGATTCTTGAAAGACTTGACTTTCGCAGTTTAAAATTTCCTTTAACAAATAAGTAAACAAATCGACCTTAAATCTGCTAAGAATGAGGAGCTAATGCTGAAGCAAGTGAAAATAAAATAAAATACCCAGGGTATCTTTTCATGGAATTTCAAGATATAGTTTCTGGTTTGTTCATTTGATCATTAGTTTATGGCTAGTATGTAGTATAAGGGTTGATTTTCCAGATTAAAAAGTTAAAAAAAAAAAAAGGATGTGGATAAGGCTCAGTCAGAAGCAAAGCATAAGACACCAAGAAATCAGAAATTAATATTCAAGCAACTTCAGCTACACAGGAGAATAGATAGTGGAAAAAGAATTCACAAATATCTATGGATTATAGTGTGAGAAGTGAAAGCTTATCAGAGAAAGGAAATTTTAATAAATGATATTGAGAAAATGACTAAAATTAATTCCAGATGAGTCAAGAATTCAAAGTTTTTCACTATGAAAAACTACAAGAAAATGGAATGCTGCATTTATATTTGATGTGTAAGAAAATGTTATTAATAGCACGGCAAAAGTAAGAATGACTGTCCCTGCATGATGTATATGACTAAATAAAAACAAAGTAATTATCCAGGTACAGAGTTACATGCCTCTAGGCCCAGCTACTCAGAAGGCTGAGGCAAGAGTATCATTTGATACTCCTTCAGCCCAGGAGTTCCAAGGCCACTATGGGCAACAGAGCAAGATTCCTCTTTCAAAAATCCATTTTTTTTTTTTTTTTTTTGTCTTTTTGAGACAGGGTCTCGCTATGCAGTTCAGGCTGGCCTTGAACTCACTTTGTAGCCCAGGCTGGTCTCGAATTTGCAACAATCCTCCTGCCTCAGCTTCCCGAGTGCTGGGATTACAGGTGTGAGCCACTACGCCCGGCCAAAAATGTAATTTTTAAAAGGCGTAGTTTAATAATTTTAAATGCATTTATTTATTTATTTTTGTCTTTTTTGAGATAGGGTCTCACTATGCAGTTCAGGCTAGCCTTGAGCTCACTTTGTAGCCCAGGCTGGTCTCAAACTCACAAAGATCCTCCTGCTCAGCCACCAGAGGAGTGGGATTGCAGGCGTGCGCCACCACACTGGGTTTAAAATGTATTTAAAAATAAAATACTTTCCAAATTACAAAGCGTAAAAGGAAAGCAATATGGATAAAACTAGCCATGATTTTGATAGAAAAATAACTTCATAGAGGAAAATAATAAAATTCTGATACAACTTTATAGTTGTACTAGTTTCCTCTGGCTATGTGGCTGAAAGATATTTAAAAGTTACTTTAAAAAAAGCATTTTAAGAGGTTTTTTTTTGTTTTGTTTTTGTTTTTTTACTTTTTTGAGACAGAGTCTCAGTATGCCATTCAGGCTGACCTTGAGCTCACTTTGTAGCCCAGGCTGGTCTCGAACTCACAATGATCCTCCTGCCTCAGCCTCCTGAGTGCTGGGATTACAGGCGTGCACCACCATGCCTGGCTTAAGGTATTTTAAAGTATTTTGTTTTGTTTATTTTTGTTTTGTTTTGTTTTTGTTTTTTGGTTTTTCTCTGGTACCAGGAACCAAACTCACGACCTTGGGCTTGCCAGGCAGGTGCTTTGCCGCTGAGCAAAATCCCCAGCCCCTGTTTTGTTTATATTATAAAGCAAAACAAAGCTTTCAACAGAGTTTGAAGGGATTTTTTGGGTTGGTATTCCTAAAAGTAGCTTTAGATTTTAAATGTTATTTTAACATTGTAATGTAAAACTATGAGAGAAATATACAGACATATAATTACAGTGATACCTCCATTTATAAATGCTTTTGTTTGCAATTTGGTTCACAAACAGAAGCATTTTGCAAAATTTTGTTTTTGCTTACAAACTCTGCATCAGGTGGCAAACATGACCGTGGCCATCTTTCACAAATGCAGCCACCTTTTCCAAAATCATAGAAAAAATAAAGTTCATGAACCAAGGTACCACTGTAATTCAGCATTCTAACAAGATGAATTATGTGTATCTTTAATCCAAAATCAATTGACAGTATTAGATTTTTAATGTAACTAATCAGTATACATAAAAGTAAAGTGGCTTCAATATGGAAAAATTATAGAAAAATAAAGCAGAGAAAGTGTAGCTAAAAAGATAAAGCTCGGCTGGGTCTGGTGGCGCACACCTGTAATCCCAGCACTTGGGAGGCTGAGGCAGGAGGATCTTTGGGAGTTCGAGACCAGCCGGGGCTACAAAGTGAGCTCAAGGCCAGACTAAACTGCATAGCAAGACCCTGTCTCAAAAAAGACTAAATAAATAAATAAATAAATAAGCCAGCAGGGAAGATGAAAAAAAAATTAAATCATGTTGGTCAAAGGGTATAAAATTTCAGTTAAACAGGAGGAATAAGTTCAAAAGATCCATTATGGTGATTATAGTTAATAACAATGCATTATATCACTGAAAATAGCTGAGAATAAAACTTACATATTCTCACCACATAAAAAACAAGAGAGGTAATGCATATTGATTAGCTCTATTTAGTCATTCCACAATATGTACATATTTCAAAACATCACATTATATACCATAAATATATATAAATAAAATTTGTAGACCAAAATCAATCACTTGAAAGATAACCTAGTGTTGGAGGGAATTATTTCTTATTTTTTAAGACAAGGTCTTGCCATGTATTCTATTTTTTTTTTTCTTGGTACTGGGAATCGAACTTAGAACCTTGTGCTTGCCAGCCAGGCACTTGTGCCACTGAGCTACTTCCCCGGCCCCTTTGCCATGTATTCTAGACTGACCTTAAACTCACTTTGTAGCCTGGGCTGGTCTTCAGCTTGCTGCAATCCTCTTGCTTCAGCCTCCCAAGTGCTGGGATTGATTATAGGAGTGAGCCACCAAACCCTGCTTGGAGGGAATTTTTAAAACTCATGAACACACTGCCAAACAAGATGAAAAGGTATGATGGGCTGAGAAGGAATTCCTGCATTTCAATTATTTTCTTCCTCACTTCTGTGCAGCCTGTGCTTCAGCTGTCCCCCAGCCAGCCTCCACACCCAAGTGATATATTCTAATGCTCCAGCAATCCACTACCCCTCCACCCACACTTTGCTCATGCCTTCATCATCCACATGGGTTTAAAAGTATGTACCATTTTGAGTTTACAGGCCAAACCTACCTTCACAACATATATTCATTACACAAACAGCACATGGAGATTAAATAGGAGTTAAAATCATTATGCAAGAATTTTTAAACCAGGCATGGTAATGCACACCTGCAATCCCAGCACTCCAGAGGCTGAGGCAGGAGGATCGCTGTGAGTTTGAAGCCAGCCTGGGCTACAAAGTGAGTTCAAGACTAGCCTGAACCGCATAGTGAGATCCTGTCTCAAAAAAAAAAAAAAAAAGACAAACAAAAGAATTTCCAAAAGAGATTTCAAGACTGGCAGGTAGAGGTTACAAGCAGAGACAATCAATGTGGATGAGGTTTTTTTAAAAAAATCGACCGGCCCTGGCTTCAATCCTCAGCACTAAAATTAATTAATTAAGACTGTAAAGAAAGGAAATTTACCTTCACATTTAAAGATCAGGGCTGAGGTGTAGCTTAGTGGTAGAGCGATTGCCTAACATGCATGAGGCCCTGGGTTCCATTCCCAGCACCTCGAGAAAAGATAAAAAGCAGGTATGTATTTCAAGGTGTATTCATATTGGTTAGGGTCAATGAAAATTGTAGGCACACTGTACTTGTACAGAAAGTCTTAGGTATGCTTTCATCTAGCACTTTTATTTTACAGAGGAAGACATTGCGGCCCAGGGTTTCTTAGCAATGGCTAATATCAACAGCCCATACCCTGCACCAAAGAAGCGCTTTGCATGTATGCACGCAAACTTTCCTGTAAGCCTCAGTACAATCCCTGTTCAAGAGAAACTGACTCAAAACAGCTAAGTATTCTCCCAAAAGTAACACAAGACAAGTTACGTAATTCGTGGGGCCCACTGCAAAATGAAACTGTGAGAACCAGTGTTACAAAATTATTACAAATTCCAAGATAGTGACAGTGGAACATGAAGCCAAGTGCAAGGCCCTTGTGAGTGCCCAGTCCCATGGGGCTGCACAGCTGCATGTGCAAGAAGTCAACACGAAGTCTACGGTTAGTAAAATTGTAGAGCTGGAGGTTAACCCCCTTCCCGCAGATCTCAAGGTCCTTAGACTGTACTCACTACTGGCTGGCGCCTAGGGAATTTCAGGGATCAGCTTACCCAAGGTCACACCGTGGGTTTGCAACTGAGATAAAATCTGAAGGCAGGCAGCTTGACTCCAATTGCCCATGGCTACAAAAGAGGCTTCTGCACCCTGTCCCTCTTGCAGGAGACTGAGATCAGCTAGTTATGGGCAATCGGAGAGGAGCAGCTGTCACCATCACAGCTGAATCGGCCTGCTTGCTGCTGGCTGGCCCAGTCCTGCCCACCACCTGCTCAACAGCTCCAAATTCCTCGTTTGTATAGCCTGGGCTTCTGGAAATAAGAGGAAAAAGCACTAGAAAACAGGAGGAAGGTGGGGGGTTTCTTCTTCTTTCTCCCTCCTTCTTCCCCCTTCTCTTCTTCCCTCGCCCCTCCCCTTCCCCTCACCACCCTCCTCCTCCTGCTCCTGTCTTTCTGTAGGTCCTCTATTGGGCTGGGGGGTGCCTGAAAGCAGCTGTTTTGAAGAAGTCCCCCTGTTGTCCTGATGTATAACCACTGACTGTGCAATCACTGATTTAGTCTAATAAAGACAGCGAAAGAGGCTCAGATACCTCCAGGAATCTGATGATATACGGCAAATATGTCACCATGGAAAATACACAAGACTTCAAAAGAAACGTAGCACAGGTTGGGATTTCAGCACTGACATTTATGTCAGACTCTGGCCGTGCTGTTTCATTCCACTGAGCCTCAATTTCCCCATCTATAAACTGGAGCCACACCCTCAGTTTCCTTGGGTTGTAAAGTGGGCTTAGATTCACTACACTGTGCTTCACATGCATATATTCACAGTTTTAAAGAGAGAGAGGACTTCTTCTAAGTCCTCTATGCACAATAGACCTGAGGAGGGCAGAGAGGAGAGAACAAGGAGGGGGAAAAGCAGTAAAAATGATGAAGATGTTATATGTATACCTACCAATTCCCCAGGATGAATGTAATTACTATGTATCCCTCAGGTAGACCAAAAATAAAAAGTGAGCATTTGGTGTTAGGGAGTGTTTCCCTCACGTACAGAATTTATAAAGGCAACACATCCCTAACCTCAGCACCTGTATCAATTCACCATCCCCTAAACAGACATGCTCCAAAATCCTTCCTTGCTCCGCAACCTGCACCCAATAAAAGCTTCTTTAGAAAATAATCCAGTCCAAATGAGTAATCCAAACAAAGTGCCGGGTACCCCCAGGGTGGCTCTGAGATACCACTTTGGGCATCCACTATTATGATGTAAGCTTTTTCCCCTAACAAAGACCTTTTGTTTCACATTGTCTCATCGACATCCTCACCTTCTTTAATGAAACTTAAGAAAAAATTCTGGGCTTTCCCCCTACTTTTTCCAGATAACAAAACAAACAAGTGTACTTGCCTCGCTTTTCCTGACCTCAAGTCCCACAAAATCACTCTCTCCCATGCAGAACAAACTGACAGTGGGATCACGTTTACCTTTGCTGCCTTAGCAACATGCTGCCTACTGCTCTATCACAACCTTGGAAAATGTCTTGCTATTTATTGTGACAGCAGAACACTCCACTGTAAAAATCACTTATGTACATAGACAAAGCCTAGGAGAAAACATAAAAATATTAAGAACTGCTGTGCTAGAGAGATGAGAGTCCTGGCAGGTTACTCTGACATGCCTAACTAACACTGCACAGAAATTTTAAAAGGAGTTCTTTAGCATAGATGATTTACAAACTAAAAGCCTTCAGGCCCCCTCACTGCTTAAACCCGGCCCTTTGCAATGTCATCATCCTCGTCTGCCTCCATTTCAGAAGTCTTAACTATTAGTGGTCATTTCCCCTCTTTTTGCCTGCTATTTTTTTTCCTGTTCTTGTATTTAACAACTCTCTAGGAATATTGGACACCAATGACCATTTTGTCCTGGAAATCATCAAGTTCTATAGATTTTTCTAGCATTATTCCATGACCATTTTCCTATGCTGGCTTCTCCTAGGGTTCTGTTACCAACCAGTATTTTTCACTTTAGGCCGGTTCTCACACTTGAATCAGCATCCCAGTCCACTCCCAGGTTTGAGAAAACAAATTGCGGCGGCCGCACTTCCAGAGTTTTTCCTTTACTAAGTTTCTGGTGGGATCCTAGAATTTTCCTTTCTAACAGTTCCCACACAACGCTGCCACTGCTAGGGATGACGTTTTGAGAACTGCTGTTTTAGATAGAGCTGAACTGGGTTTTGTTTTTCTGAACTGTGAATTGAACCCAGGGCCTATGCACTGAGCTACATCTCCAGCCATTTCTATTTTTTATTTTGAGACAGGGTTCGCTAAGCTGCCCAGGTGATACTCAAACTTTTAATCCACCTGTCTCAGGCTCCCAAGTACTGGGATTACAGATGTGTGCTACTATGCCCAGCAGAGAACTAAACTGGATTAGACATGGACTTCTCAAACTGGACACTAATGACGTTTCAGCCTACATAATTCTTTGTTGTGGGGGACTGTCTTGTGCCCTATATGATGTTTAATATCATCCTTGGTCTCTCCACATCTTAGCTATCTGTGACAACCAAAAATGTCTCCAGACATGGTAAAGGTACCCTGGGGAAGCAAAATCATCCCTGGTTAAGAATCAGTGAGTTAGACTGACAGTCAGGCTCTCTTTATGTGAAGTAACACAGCCTCCTCTTCTTGTTCAAAAGATGCTGATCTGGCCATGGTGGCACATGCCTGTAATCCCAGCACTCAGGAGGCTGAAGCAGGAGGACTGCTGCAAGTTCGAAGCCAGCCTGGGCTACAAAGTGAGCTCAAGGCCAGCCTGAACTGCATAGTGAGACCCTGTCTCAAAAAGACAAAAAAAAAAAAAAAAAGATGCAGATCTTTTTCACAATTAGGTCCTTTTTGTCTAATTCCATGTGTGTCAGGCACTGTGTGGATACAGAGGTTGATGACCATGTCCCTGCTCTTAGAGTACTCACAATTAATAGAAGAGACAGTGTGATCAAGAGGCCAGGTGATTATGGGGACAGGGAACAAGGCATTATGCTATCCTTCCTTAAAGATTATAATAAAGACAGGCAGATGTTGGCTAGACAAAGAGACAGGGGAGCAGAACTGCAGGCAGAAAGTGGAGCATATTTAAAGGCATGAGGACAAAAAAAGGTGAGTCCAAGAACTACCAATTGCTCCATGCAGCTGCAGGCAGTCATGGCTTTTCTCTTGTAGCGAAGGGGAGAGTGGAAGAAAATCATGAATGATTCCCAAACCTTGTTATCTCCTACAATCCCCGCATGTGCCTCAAGCTACTGCCACTGTAAATTTCTTTCCACTAACCTCAGAGCCTTAAGAAATCACTTGCTCCAGATGCCTGAATTAAATCATCCTCTCCTAGCACAACACCATTACACTTGATTGGAATTGTTATGTCTGCCCTGCTAAGACTACACACTCTGTGAGGGCAGGGAACATGACTATCTCGCTCTTCAATGCCTCTCCAGCATCCTGCACTGTGCCCAGCACAGAGAAGCCACTGAAGTAAAAGTTGAATGAACAATGTCAAGTTCCTTGTCCCAAACTGAACACTCAGCCGCCCACTCCTTCTCCAAACTAGGTTCTCCTTCTGTATTCAGTGTCTGTATTCAGGTATTCACGAGGTGGCGGGGAAGGTACAGTGCCTACCATCCCGCCACCTCCTGAATACCCCAATATTCTCCAAACCTTATCAGAATCTTCCCTTTTATTTCATATATCCATATGTAGTATGTCAAGCATGAAATCACCTCTGTCCACTGAACGCTTCATAAACACAGCCTAAGGAAAGAATATGGACTTCAGAATCCAGTAGAGGTGAGTAATCTCTGTTCTGCTTCTAGTTGCCAGACAACTTTGAATGAGTTATTTATCCTCTCAAAGCCTTAGTTTCTTCATCTTTTGGGCATGGGAGGGGCCACTGAGACAGTCTTGCTACGTAGCTCAGGCGGGCCTCTAACTCACAGTGCTCTACTCTGCTCCACTGCTGGTGGGAATGCAGACTGGTGCAACCACTGTGGAAATCAGTTTGGAGATTCCTCAGAAAACTAGGACTAGAGGTCCCATTCAACCCAGCTATCCCCCTGCTGGGTATTTTCCCAGAAGATCGAAAAACATCATATCACAGTGATATATGTGCACCTA